CACATCTGGAAGTTTGGAGAGCTTTATTGAGCAAATCACTACAGCAGCCGAACATGGGTCTACAGGTTATAAACAAGTGAAGCATGGCAAACATAGCTGGATATAGCTAAGGCAATGTTCCAACCCTTGATTCACACCCAATCTCCTTTTGAAGAGCAGGGCAGGCAACTCTGTTTGTACTGTTTATGCTCTGAGCCTCAGGACTGGGTAAGCAAGCAACTATTCCTCCACAGAAGCTGAGTCCATGAAATTTCCTTCTACTGGCACTGACACATCCATGGAGATGAGGGCAGAGTCAGTGCTGACTTGACATCTGACTTTGGCCCAGATGCCTCCACAAGAGATGAGATCTTTGCTTCCAGGGTAAGGCATCAAAGGGTGATGTCTGTCTTGGGGTGTCTAATGTCATGGGACCCGACAACCCACCAGGTCCCTCTCCAAGATCCAGGTCCCTCATCTCCGGCTCCCCGATCTCCCCCCATTCCTCCTTAGCATCCAGTCACTCCCTCTAAGATGTCTCTATGGGACTCATGACATCTGGTGTCCTCCAAATGTTTTGGACTACAACTCGCATCAACCCCAGCCCCACACGCTGGCTGAGAATGATTAGAGTTGTTGTCCAAAACATCTGGAGGGCAGGCTGCCATAAGGGGTGCCTGAGCTGGCAACATTTTTACTTTCATCAAAGCACTATATGATTTGGAAATAATAATACAGTCTAACCAACAATGCTGCCGCTGTGGTGGTTTTGGCTGCTGAAAATCGGGGATAAAAAGGCTATGGCTATGGCTTCCTTTCACCACACGGGGGCACATTTATATATGTTATCAAGCAACACACAGATTTCAAAGATTTTGTAAAAATATATCTAACCTCCCGGAATGCTTCCTTCTTAGCTGAAGACTACCTTTTGAAAATATATTCTGGTGTTCTCTCTAGAAACCTACCTGATCTTGGGTTGTGTACACACAACATTATATCCTACACTGAACGCACACACACACATCCCACATAGTCTGCACACAATCTGGACCTATTGCATATGTAATATCCATGAAATATGCACTTACCCAAACAAGGTTCATTTCAAAAGTAAAAGTTTCATGCAGAACGATTCTGCGTTACAGCCCCCCCGGCCCAGTGTGTCCATTTGAAAATGGATGCAGACCCAGCAGTGGAGGAGAGGGGGTGTCTCCCAGACCTGCACAATGATGTTGTGGATGGGTGTATACCAAGATTACCATTTCCTTCTTCATTCACCATGTGTAGGGAGGAAAATGCCTGGATAACCTAATAAAGGGGAAGATTTTCAAATGCGTAACAAGTAACCACACACCCACTTGTGGACTGCAGGATTAGAATCAATCTTGACTGAAAGCAGCATGCTGAGGACAGTCATGCACAATTCTGTATTGAGCGAAGGCCACTTATTTGTGCTACAAACAGGAGCATGTGTCCATAGCCTTGTTTTTCACAGGAGTGCTTCTGCGGACAAATGTCATTATGGGATGGACCCATAGCCTTGTCTTCTCCTGTCAGCAAGTACTTGAAGGAGGCCAGACTTTTTCTAATTTTGTTTGGCACTGCTGATCTGAAATTGACTTAGAGCATAGCAAAAGTAATCTCCAATATAGTGACCACTTTTGGCCAACCGTGTACAAAGAGGGTGGCGTGCAAGCATGAGTGCTACCATTAATAAATGCAAATGGAAATAATTCCTTAAATCCATTGGTCCACACTAATTTCTTTCAGTTTCCTTTAGCGAGAAGTAACTTCTCACTACAGTGGTACCTCGGGATGCAAACGGAATCCATTCCAGAGCCCCGTTCACAACCCGAACAGAATGTAAGACGCGACAGCGCGTCTGCGCATGCGCGGGTCGCGTTTCGCCGCTTCTGCGCATGCACGTCATGTCATTTGGACCGTCTGTGCATGCACAAGTGGCAAACCCGGAAGTAATGCACTCCGTTACTTCTGGGTCGCCGCGGAACGCAACCCGAAAGCACTCAACCTGAAGTGTATTTATCCCAAGGTATGACTGTATAGCTGTCAACGTTTTCCCTTTTTTAAGGGAAATTCCCTTATTCCAAATAGGATTCCTCACAAGAAAAGGGAAAAGCTGACAGCTATGCTTCTCACTGGTTCATGTTGGATTAGCTGGGGAGGTTAAAATACTACCTCCAACCCCTCAAAAAATTGGGAAATGGCCCTGCTTATTTCTGAGCCAGAAGTTTCCTTCCCTTGTTCCCAGGAGCGGCTTGTCCCATTTTGCTCCCTGAGGCAAAATAGGAATGTGCCACTCCCTGCCCCCCACCACTGCAGCATGCCCCACTTCCATTGTGCACCAGAATGCCCCCCTCTTGCCAAAGTCAGCAGGAGGGGGAGCATTCCACAAGGCCCCGGCACTTGTCTTCTCCACCCCGGGGCAAAGAAAATGAGCGACAAAGTGGCACACCAGAACACCCCCATCAAGAGGGGCATCCACCAATGGCAGAAGTGGTGGGGCAGGAGGAAAGTCACCTCTTGTGCTTTCCCTGCCTGAAGCAGCTGATTCATCCTACCTCATGGGTAGGCCGGCTCTGCTTGTACCACACAGGCAACTTCATGACTACATATCAAAATACAGGTAGGTAACCGTGTTGGTCTGCCGTAGTCTAAACAAAATAAAAGAATTCCTTCCAGTAGCAGAGACCAACTAAGTTTGTTATTGGTATGAGCTTTTGTGTGCATGCCATTCCCACCACCCTTCTGAGTAATACCCCTCCCCACCTCTCATTATATATAAGGGTCTGGTGACTTCTGTTTCAGTGTATCTGAAGAAGTGTGCATGCACACGAAAGTTCATACCAATAACAAACTTAGTTGGTCTCTAAGGTGCTACTGGAAGGAATTTTTTTATTACATATCAAAATGTTGATCAAAGCTTTGGGATTTTGATAAACTGGAGAGCTTACTTAAGAAATATTAAATACTTAATGGTAGAAGGCGGCCTACCCTTTCCAGTTGTGTTCAAATACAAACGAGGAAGAGTTACTTCTGGTTGTTTCTGCCTCTCCTCTTACAGAATACAAACTCTTAATGGAATACCCTCCTTTTAAAGAGCATTAGTGAAACTAAAGCAATTCTCCAAAGACTGAAATATATGGTGCTAGAGGAGACTCTTGAGAGTCCCATGGACTGCAAGAAGATCAAGCCTATTCATTCTTAAGGAAATCAGCCCTGAGTGCTCACTGGAAGGACAGATCCTGAAGCTGAGGCTCTAATACTTTGGCCACCTCATGAGAAGAGAAAAAGACTCCCTGGAAAAGACCCTGATGTTGGGAAAGATGTAGGGCACAGCTGGACATGTTCTCAAAGCTACCAACATGAGTCTGACCAAACTGCGGGAGGCAGTGGAAGACAGGCGTGCCTGGCGTGCTCTGGTCCATGGGGTCACAAAGAGTCAGACACAACTGAATGACTAAACAACAACAATACATGGGAGGATTTTTTTATAAAAAAAACAGTTTGATTATCTTCAAGGTCCAGAGTACCAGATGGCTCAGGTGAATCTCCATGGAAGGGTGGGGGATTGGCTAACCAAATACAGCCAGACAATGCCATAAGACCCTCCCCAGTAGGAAGTTCCCAGTGAGAAGGCACTCAGCATTTTCCCCACAAGGCAAAGGGCACCTCAGAACGGGTTGTAAGGTGTAAGATGACTTACAATCATCTACCAAAAGGCACTTTCAAAACACCAAAATGCACCAACACTATGTACGACAAGGATGACAATGTGTGTACACTGATTAAAAGCTGTTTATGCACAAAATACAGTTCATGTTTGTTTGTGTACACACCCATGGTCCAGATGCCTGGGTTGTTGGGGAGGGCAAAATGCACCCTGCCAATTGTAGGATCCGGCCATCTTCTAGCCTTACTTCATTACTTGTTTGCTACAGGCAGGAATCATTCATTAATCCGGGTTTGACTTTGCATCTCAGTGGGTAAAACTGAACCATGAACAAGAACCTCAGATTTTAGATTCTGAGTGAAATTAATTGAAAGGTTTATTGGTATTCTGTGATCTGAACAGGAATCAACATTAATTAAGAAGTTGGCTAGACAAGAACACCCATTCAAGCAGTTTGAGGTGGCAATGCAATGTGACTAAAAGAACAATAATAAGACCAGCCTTTGCCAACCTCATGCCCTCCAGTTAATTTTGGACTACACCTCCCATCAGCCTTAGCAAGCACAATAAGTGATCAGGGAGGGTGGCTTCCTCACCAATGTTCTAAAGGCACATTAACCACTCAGCTTAGACTAGCCTATAACACACACACACACACACACACACACACGGGGCGGGGAAGGTGTTCTTATCCTAGACCGTAACTGAATTAAATTTGAAATTGTTTTTATATGTGAAATTGCTTGAATGAAGTAAATAAATGGAATAAAGCCAAAATAAAATAGATTAAAAAGTGGGGCTGTCTCTTGGCCTATCCTTCTTCTAGGACAGGATTCACCAACAGGGGTCCCTCGCAAGACATTGTTGTCCAGCTCCCATTGTCCTTGGCCACTGGCCATCTTGGCTGGGGCTGATGGGAGTTGGAGTCCAACACCACCTGAAGGGCACTCGGTTGACTACCCCTGCTCTAGCAGTAAAAACAAAGTCAATCTGTTGCTGCTGCACAAGAGAGAAACATTACCTTTACCCTTTGAAGGACTCAGATTGACTTGGTGAGTCTCACTGATCAGTGTTCAAGAGCCCCTGATTTATATGACTCCAGAAGGGGCACTTTGATCCCTTAAAAAATAAATAGAGCAGGCTTAAAAGGGATCGCTGCTGATGAGTGGCAATTTGGTGCCATTTGTATGTTTTGGCAAAGTTCAAAGGTCTGGGCTTTTGCTGATATATATAAAAATTTTAAATGACAATGCATCACTGTGGCCGAGAGAACAGAAGAATGCCGTCCATAAACAAGAAGCAAACAGGGTTGCTAGGTAACCAAGAATGAAGGCCTAAAAGCTGATTCCGCTCTGAGATTAAGGCATGTTTTCAAGTGAAGGGACACACACACACACACACACACACACATCCAGCACATTTCTTCTTCAGAAATATTGGCCTAAATATTGGCCTAATACGATTTTTGAACAGAATACTTTGACTTCCTCTCCCCTCACCAGATAGAACCAGGAGATAACATTAGCCACTCACAAAGCAATTTGTGACCACAGCCTTATCTGTGGGGAAACTGGGAGGCTGCCAGATGAGAACTGTTAAAAAGGAGGGCAGAATGACACATGAAAACAGCCTTCCCCCTCCCCGGTGCCCTCCAGCTGTTTTTGGACTACATCCGACCCAGCAGAGCCACCTGGGTCCACTATGCTCATGTAAGGCCACACCCTTCTTCAGGTAGTCATCTTCTGGGTCACCGACTGAAGCCATGACAGTCAGTAAGTTTCCTAATTATGCCAATATTTCCCTTTGCAGTGTTGATCAGACCTCCCCAATGTTCTAATTCTGTCGTCTCTCTCCTGTAGAAGCAGCAAAGAAGGCAAAGCGTTTGATTTGCATGTAGTGAAATGTGTTGGTGGTGAAGGCTGGGATTTCTCAGAAACACTTCACACACTGTCGCTTGCTTGTCTCTCACCTCAGAGGCACCCAGCCCCAAACTTTCAGAATCCTCTGTGGGATTTTTTTATGCTCGATCTGTACTCTGACTTCTTGCTGTTTCGTTGTAATTTTCTTTTGTAGTATATTTTTTAAAATTAAATTTTCAAACATTTTCACAATAATCTTCATATCAAATAGTTACATTCTTTCATAAATTGACTTTCCACCCCTGTTTCCAAAGCGTTTTTACTCAGACATTTTCTACTGCATTATATCTTTATCTGTTGCAAAACGTTTCTCTACGACAATTATTTCATCATTTTTCTTCTGCTGCTTTTATCTTGAATCCTGCCCGCAATTTCATTTGACTATCGTGGTTTTTTAAATAGTCCACAAAAGACCTCCATTCCTCTATGAAAAGATCATCATTTTGATCTCTTAATTTCGCTGTCAGCTTTGCCATTTCTGTGTAGTCCAGTACTGTTTCCTTGTATTTTTGAAAAAATGAGGAATCTGCCAAGTTGCTAGCCCTCTTCAAGCGTTCAAAGCATGGGTAGCACTGTGTGGTGCTCTCTAGGTGTTACTCAGCTGCAATTCCCATCATTCCTCACTGTTGGACATGCTGGCCTGGGCTGATGAGAGGTAGAGTCCAAAATCAGTAGGGTACCACTTCCCCTGGTGTTTAGGCTCAAGGTGTGGTGGTGTGTGCTAGTCCAGCTGATTCCTGATTGAAAGGCAGATTCTAACCATGTTCACCTGGAAGTCTCCCTGTGGACCTTCATATTCTTCATGCTGTGCACAAAAGGTTACCAGAAAAGGGGGCAGGGTGGGACTGGCAGGGATGCTGAACATGCAGGCAAGGCTGGCACAAACAGTGCCACACACATAAACAAAAACCTAAAAGAGCCTGATGGATCTGGACAATGGCCCATCTAGTCCAGCATCCTGTTCTCACAGTGGCCAACCAAATGCCTGTGGAAACCCCAAGAACTGGAGACGAGCGCAACAGGACTCTACCCACCTGAGATTCCCAGCCTCTGGTATCCAGAGGCATAACAGTGGAGGTGGAACATAATGACAGATGGCCAAGTCACTATATGCATGTGTTCATTTCAGCATCCATTTTGTTTCATTTTTTCATCAATCTGCGAATTATATCTTTTACTTTAAAAAAAATCCTCATGAAATTCACATGTAACGACATCTATTAAGGGTATTTTTCTCAAAATGTGTTTTTCTAAGCCTATTTTGCCTCAAAATATATATTTAGAAATATTTTGACACTTTTTTTTGAGCTGTCAAATTATGTTGGAATATTCAGGAAGCACAAAAGCCAATGGATTTCCAACCAGGTAATTAATTCAGGAGGTACAAATCAGGCCAGTTCTAGGAATGGGGGGGGGGAGAAAATCCATTCTGTTAATATTTAAAGGCAAACTTGCCAAATTTGCACTTTCTGAAGCAATATGTGAACTCGAACACAGAAATTCTATGAAATTTGCACGTTACTGAATTTTGCAATGCTGTTCTCCAGCCAAGTAATGTGTACAAAAATGCATATACTTGTGCTCCCTCAGCTAATAGCTGCAGAGACGTCAAAAGCTGCACTCTGTGTTTATGTTAGGTTTTCTTTTGTCAAGTTTACTCAAAGGGAGATGCAAGGAAAAGCTAATAAACTAATAAATTAACATAAATACTGTTTTGCCACAAACTTACACATTCTGTACTTTAATTTGTAACCTCACTCATCTCTTTTTTAAAATCCTAGTAAGCACCCTGGAAAATTGCTTGCAGCCATGCTTTGCATTGGGAAGTAGGTTTCTAGCTGTTTATTGACAACCAACAGAATTTGGATTCCATGTAGCAAGATTATAGGTTGCCACATTCTGAGCCTTGCTTTCTTAAAAGCATGTGGATTCTTTCCAAATTGGCTAGGGTGTGTGTGTGAGAGAGAGACAATTTTACGAGGCCTTTCACCTTGCAGAAACAGAGGCCAAAGATTCTCCCCCCCCCCATGATGGTTGCATGCAACAGCTCTTAAGCTGCGTCTGCGGGCTTTTTAGGACCCGGGGGGGGGCAGTTTGGAAATGTCAGCAGTTGTAGGATGCAGACATTTTCTTTTTACCAATGCCATGCAAGCAGGTTCATTAAGCATTAATGCATGAGTGCACGAATTGCCATTATTTATAAGCCTGCCATGTTGCTTTATCATTAGACATTTTAATAAAATATGAATGACTGCTTTCTCTTCTCTTTGGCAATCACTTGTAGCCAAGTAAGATTGTCTTCCATAAACACGGTTTTAACAATGAGTCCGTAAGTGACAGTGGAGGCCAATTCTGGATCCACATGTCCTTCCACAGTGGGGACACTGGTTTCTGAGTGGGAGTTGACCACGGTGTGGATTTGCCAAGTGTGCCTTCCTCTTAGCACATTTCTCCCTTGCATCCTGAGTTTGAGTGTCTTCAAAGCCCACGACACCTTTGGTAAAGGCTGTTCCCCAACTGGAGCGCTCGCAGACCAGTGTTTCCCAGCTGTCATTGTTTATACTACATTTTTTTAGATTTGCCTTGAGACAGTCTTTAAACCTCTTTTGTTGACCACCAGCATTACGCTTTCCATTTTTAAGTTCAGAATAGAGTAGTTGCTTTGGAAGACGATAATCAGGCATCCGCACAACATGACCAGTCCAACGAAGTTGATGTTGAAGAATCATTGCTTCAACACTGGTGATCTTTGCTTCTTCTAGTACACTGAAATTAGTTCGCTGTCTTCCCAAGTGTTGTGTAAAAATTTTCGGAGACACCGTTGATGAAATCTTTTGAGGAGTTGGAGATGGCATTTATAAGTGGTCCATATTTCACAAGCATATGTAGTACGGTTGGTAGTTCAATATCTTTGTAAACAAGCATTTGGTTTCCCTGCAAATGTCCCAGTCCTCAAACACTCTGCACTTCAATCAGGAGAAAGCTGCACTTGCAGAGCTCAGGCAATGCTGGACGGCATCAATGTTGGCCCTTGTGGAAAGAAAACTGCCTAGGGAGGAGAAGTGATTGATGTTTTCCAACGTTACACCATTGAGTTGGATTTGTGGTGCTGCAGAGGAGTTATTTTGTACTTGTTGGTGCAGCACTTTGTTTTTGGATGTTGAGTGATAGGCCAAGCATTTCGTAAGCTTCTGCAAAAATATTTAGGATGGTTTGGAGGTCATCTTCTGAGCGTGCACACACTACGTTCTCATCAGCATACTGAAGCTCTATGACGGAAGTTACGGCAACCTTACTCTTTGCTTTCAGCCTGCTCACATTGGCTCCCAAAGCAAAAAGCCTGCTTAGCTCTATGAGTGATCCTAATGGCGTATGCCAATGTGTAGCGTTAAAAGTGTCTTTTCATATGCGAAGCTCTGCACATCTTGGGCCCAGCAACCAGAGTCTCCTCCTCAGGTTCCAGTACTTGCTCCGTTTACATTCACACACAGCAGATGAGCCCATGTGAACACTCAGTTTGTTGGCACATATACTAAAATTGGGATAGCATGGAGAAGATTAGCTTGGCTATGTCCCTGTGAGCCATGGGCTCGGAGAGCCAGCTCTGGAAAGAATGCCCACAGCAGAGGGGAGGGGTCTGTCATGGACACTGACACAGGGTATTGAAGAAGACAAGAAAGGCTTAAAAACTGAGTGATCTGGAAGGGGGTAGACCCAGTGCATACTGTACAGTAAGGGGAGGGGAGAGAAGAGAAGAGAAGAGAAGGGAGGAGTGTTGAGAAGGAAAATGCTGCTAAACAGGCAAGACCTCATGCTAGGGCAGTGCTGGAGAACTTAATCCAGACCAAGGGCCTTCTGGGAAATCTTCTCAGGGCCACACACAGGTGGTAGGCAAGGCCAAAGGTCAAAGAGGGCAGAACAACAAATGACAATGTTATCTTTGTACACTAGGCTAGTTTCCATACACCCATCTCTATCATCCACCCAAGGAAGCAACAGGCATCCTCCATAGATGGTATTTATCATTTTAGATTTGTAGTTATAGTGAGCCCTTTGGGAGGTGCGTGGTCAGAGATCACAGCAGGACTTGCTGTGACTGCTGATCACTGCAACCAGAAACCCTGCTTGCAAAGCAACAATTGGAAACTCAGTTTACAATCCCAGTTTTGGAGCCATATCCTCACCTATAATGGGTATGGGGTTGCTCGTGCGTAAGTTGCCGCCTCTCCTGGCTATGTTGCCTTGTTAAACCTTTCTGTCTGGACAGCCCTTCAATTCGTGGCTGCCTCAGTCGCTAGCAGAATCCGTCAGTGGGCGTTTCTTAAACCTCTTCCAACATAAAAGTTGTTTGACGCCCAGTCTCCTCCTACTCTCCCTGCGTGGAAGTCTTCTGCGCAGGGAGGGCGTGGGCAGCGGAGGACCCGTGCTCTCCCCGCTGGTGTCCAGTGAAGAGTCCTGGAGCCCTCTCGCCGATTCCCCATCTGCCCCCCTTTATCCCTGGTGTAACGTTGATTTGCTTCCCCCTCTGCTGAACTGCCTCTCTCCCTGCTTGGCCCTTCTCCAGCATCATTTGAGAGCCTTCCCTCCGCCTCAGGCTCCGATGTCAGTTCCCTGACATCACCTTAGTGGTAGCTCATCACATCTGGAACTCCTTCCCTACTGAGGTCTGTCTGGTTCCATCTCTTTTTAGGCAGCTGGTTAAGACACCTTTTTTTTTCCCCATTGGTATTTGGAGGAGAGACATGCTCAACTAAAAAGGATTAGTAAATTACTATTTACTGAATCATTTTGAATGGTTGAGTTCTGGATTTTTAAGGACTATCAGGGTTTGTGGATTTTTTTGTTTTCTTTTTCTCTTATTTGACTTTGCTGCAAATCTCCACATGGTATGGGATCCAAATAAATAAATAATCTCTGTACTTGGGATTCATATGGTGCTGTGTTTCTCTTTATTATTTGCACCTTTGATTCCCATGTTACAGGACGTGCGGGGCCCATTTTTATGGTGACTGATGTGAAATCTCTGTGCTGCTAACCCCGAGCCAAACGGGCAGGCAGCAGTATTTTTAGGGCACTGAATTATTCAACAAGCTGTGCAGCTTTGGGGTGGTTTCCTTTGATAGGCAAC